CATCCAAGCACACTTATAGACACCTATCCTGAGGGATGCTTTAAAATAACACAGAGGGTGTTATTGTGGACATTAGATCTGCCCCAAAGTGCTTGTAAGGGCAACCAGCAAGTGCCGTGAGGAGAAGCACTCCTGAAAAAAAGAAAAAAAAAAAAAACAAAACCAGATTTGATGCAAGCAGAGACTCTACCCCAGCAGGGAAACAGAGCCAAGTCCCACAGAAATCAGCTGGCACCGACAAGCTCTGTAGCCACTTGAGAAAATAAATCAGGGGAGGGTTTTTTCTGACTAAGGCACTCAGAATTCAACCTATAATGAATCACTGCATGTTTTTATGAATCACTAAATAACCAGCAAAAGTTGCTCGAGCCTTATCAAAGCCATGCTGCAAAGCTGACGCTCGGCACCGTGATGGAAAGCAGGTTTAATCGCCGCTGCGCCGCTACGTCCCAGGTTGCAGCCCGTTTCTCCAGCTAGTCGTACAGTAAAATCCCTCGCCGCAAACACAACGTACTGGCGACGGACAGAAAATCAGCATTCCTCCCAACTGCTCCACCTCCGGCACGTGGACGGCGCCGGCTGCCAACTGCCACCCCAGCCCATCGCCGTGTCACACGTGCACGGACCAACCAGGGCCAGCAGCCGCGTCCAAATCCCCCCACACCCCCCGCCCCGAGGTGCGGGGACGACTAGGGATTGACAAAAAGTGACTCAACACTTTGTCGATCGAAATGTTAGCAATAGCAAAATAATATATTAAAGAAAACCCCCGCCTGGAGACAGGCATAGCTCTGGGCTTCTGTAGAGCCGTTAATTAACGGCAGCACTTGGGGAGAGCCAGGGAAGGACCTCGCGGGATCGCGAAAACCAAAATCCTGTTCTATACCACCCAATGTGCACACCAAGTACACAATGTCCCACCCACAGCCCTCTATAAATAAACCCACGTAGGAGATCCAGGACTGAAGAAATAAGTAAATTTGCTTCCAATTATATATCTTTTTTTTTTTAAGAAGGCAAATTAAAAGTAAATCAGTAATAACAGAGGGAAAATACAATACAATTTGACAGTGAAAATTCAATTTCAACCATTGCCCGTATCACGAGAACAATATTTGAGATATTTATTTGCTCTAAACTGTCACGTACAAGTGACTTCCTGGTTGAAGCTGGGTTTGGAGGTAACCCTGGAGCTCCTGTGTTGGAGCCATCACTTTGGAAAGCTGAAGAATGACTTTACACGAAAAAACAGCTCGACAGAAGTCGACCGTGAAAATCAGACCCAGAGCCAGTCCAAACATTTCCTGCTCCTTTGATTAAACTTTAATGGACACAACTTTTTGATTATCACTCCCACACCTGAAACAATCAGTTCCATGCAGATCTTTTGCTTTCTGTTGTCTGAGAATTCAAAAGTTTGTTGGTTTTATTAATACAAACCCCTGAAAATTGAGGGGGGGGGGGGCGGGGGGAGGGGGAAGGGAGCAGGGCTGTGGAGCAGGATTTTTCCCAGGTTGTTCTTAACATTCCCAAAGGCAGCAGAGCTATTAAAAACACTAATGTGCATCTACTCCATCAGCCCACTCCCCCGTTTTTCCCCCCGATGCGCAGCCCGTCGGGCGGGCGGATGCGTGCCTCCGGCTAGGCAGGCTCCCGGCCCCGTAAGCTGATCCCCACCCCACCTGTCCCCCCGAGAACCAGGCAACAGCTTTTTTTAGCCATTTCTAAGCCTGGCAGTAACCCCCTCTGCTTAAGCCACAGAGGCAAACCACCCTTTTGGGCCAGCCGCGGGGGATTTCCACCTGCTCCAGGCCACAGGTCTGGGCTATCTCTGCTACCGACAAATATTCGGAGCGGCCGGACGGCTTTCATGGTCCAGGCGACCTCAGGGTTTGTTGGGAACCCCACGCAAGATGCACTTGACAGGACTCCTCAAACTGTGGTGGCATTTAGTTTTTGGGATGCTGATGCACGCCAGTCAGGGGTGCAAACCCCATGGCACAGCGGGGCGCAGGTCCCTGCCTCTGCCAGGAGCATCCCACGGGACCACCCCCCAAGAGCCAACAGGGATGGGACACCCTCACTTTTTGAGGCACGTTGGACAGACGGACAAATCTGTTCGCAGGGCGGGGACACGGGGGTGAAGTCTTTTTGAAGTCTTTCTGCTTGTCGGGGGGAGGGGGAGCATGAACAAGTTCTAGAGCTGAAACATCCTAGGGGATATGTAGGGAGGTGCACTCCCACACTGGGAAAAGCATGGTGAGCACGGGGAGAGGAGGGATGCAGGCATCACGGGGCACGGAGGGAGACCTTCTCCTCCACTCCCCTCCCAAATAAACCCCAAAGAGAGAAAAGGAAAACTCCCTGAGCAAGAAAAAGCACCACTGAGGGAAAGAAGCTGCTTTTCACAAAAGGTTAGTTAGTACTTCCCAGGTGGGCGAGCACCTCAGTGAAGCTCTTCAGACTCAGATTTTAGGAGACTTCACAGTCACATCCCTTCGTTCTGTAACCGAGGGAGGTTTTAAAGCTCATTATCACGGTTTATGGATCTATGCTTTTGAGTAGACAGGAAGAGTCATCAAAACTGCACAACCGGCCAGAAGCCACCTTTGTGTTGCCATCTTCTCTTTCAACTAACTCTGCCCCCGGGACAGGCGCCTGGGGAATCTCAGCCCTTATCTGGCGGATCTGCCCGCGCTCCTCCTCACGCTGTCTCCCCACCTTAGCTGCTTTCCAAGCGTCCCAGCTCCGCGGCGGTGGCACTCGTCCCCAAGCTGCCCGACCTTCGCTCCCGAGCACGACGCACAGCTCCTCGCTTCGAGGTTGCTCAACATAGCTTCGTGAAACAGCTTCAGAAATCATAACCGCCAGCAAGGAGAGTGCTCTCGCCAAGAAACTTAAGAGTCGACACCCGAAGGATTATTCCGATTATTCTCACTGCGACCCGTGGGGCTGCCGGCGACCAGGAGAAGGGGAAAAAAATCCCAGCAAGGAGCTCGTCCCTATTGCTGAGACACGTCTTGAGCTTTGTTCTGCTACAACTAAAACATACCGGCTCTGACAGCAATACTGCTACAACACAGGGCTTATGTGGTTTTATTACATTTTTTGCTTCGCTATTAACCAACCGTCACAATTTCCATCTAATATGATATCAGACGGAGAAAGTTTTGTAAAGGAACTTGCTCTCCTGTGAATTCTTAGCAGAGATGCTGAAAGGCAAAGTAAAAGCACAGCCTCACCCGACAGCGGCACGAGCACACCTGAACCCTCTTCTACACAAACCTCCCTTGCTCCTTGTGCCGACGCTGCTTTGTTTTCCTCCTGCTGCAGGTTGATTTGTCAGTGGTACAGGCTCCGGGGATGCCAAACCCAGAGTGCCATGTGGGAGAACGAGACACCCCCCACCACCACCCCCGAAGCTGAAGGAGAAGGCTTCTCCCTCCAGCATGCCCCCGAAGTTTTGAAACACAACAACCTGATTTAAGAGCTCTGTCTTGACTTGCTCTCAGCTGTAACGGGAACGCAGTGCTCTCCCCAAGCCCCTCCAGCACTAGGTATATTATTTTTGTTATGGAACGGTCATTTACATTTAATATTTATTTAACTAAAGCATCACTGTGGAGATCAACTACTTGTTTACTTCTCCCTTCCATCCACAGGCGTATAGGAGCTCTATTCCCCCCCTTGCAACGGTGTAAAGCAGAAATACCTCCCCAAAAGTAGATAGTTTGCATAAGCCTAGTTCAAACGAGAGGATACCCAAGGCCATAAAAATTGTGGGTTTTCCCTCCAAGTACTTCCCGTAATAACAGACCAAGGCAGCATTCTGGGGAGGATTGTGCAATTCCTCCTGACAACTACACTCAACTTGGTGTTGCTGCTGAGGAAAACAGTGATCTCAGATGCACATGGATTTCTTTGGTTAACTGAAGCAAGATCAATAATAACCATATTAATAAATAATGCTTTTAATAGCAGTGGCAGGATATAGGCAGCAAACTGCAGGCAGGTATCAGGGATAGGTAAAAGCATTAATTATCTACACAATGTCAATGCTTCTGAGCTGATGTGCAGAGCAAAGCTAAAAGCTCACTTTCTGAAGATTATCAAGACAGACTGACAACTCTCAGCTCGCATACAAGCATTTCGGGTAAAACGCAATTTTCTGGATGTCACAACTGAGAGGAACGCACTGCTCTTTTTCATTTAACATTAATAAACGGGTTAAAAGACGCAGGGGAGGGCAGATTTAAAGGTTTGACTGTCCTCTTCCTTCCCTGCAAGTTGCAAAAGAACAAAAGCAAAAGGGAGTTTTCGGGACCCGAGGTGAGCGAGGCATGTGTCTTCCCCAAACCAACTCCAACCCGCTCCATTTTTCTGCGACGAGAAAGCGCACATGCACTCCGAGCTCTCTTATATAAACAGCAAGAGGGTCAGCGCCTGTCTGAAATTCCCCACCGCGTCTAAAATAAATACAAGGTTGTCTTTAAACTTCGCTCTTTCCCACCCCACCTGGAGATTAAGTGAAGTTGAGGGGGTTTTCCCCTCTGAGGGTCTTGGGGGGGGGCTGCGGCTCAGCATCTCCACCGCCCCGGGGGTGCCAGGGTCAGGCACCTTGTCCTGCCGCCCCGTCCCTCCCACTCCCACTCCGGACGGTCGGATGATGCTGGTGGAGCCGAGGGGACCTCGGCGTGTGTGTCCCCCAGCCGAGGCCAGTGGGGTGCGCGCCCTGGGGAGGGGGGACACGCGCTCCCCGCTTGTCCCACTCCTGCAAAGCCCCACATCCCCCTCCCTGAGGTTGGGGATCGGGCCAGCACAGAGCAGAGGCGGGGGGGGGGGGGGGGGGGGGGGGGATACCCCAAAGGCTTTGTGGCATCCCCGTGAGCTGGAGGGAGCTGGGATGCTCCGGGCACGGGGAAGGCTCCCGGGGGGGGAAAGGGGGGGTATTCCCAATCGGCTGAGGGGGCGGGGTGCGGTGTCCCTCGGGGAAAGGATATGGGTTACAGACCAGCCTGAGGCACCAGCTGCGCGGGCGGGTGGTTTGCTTGAGGCAGAAGAAGGCGGTGGGTGCCAGCGCCGGGTAAGGCACCTGCTCCTCCTCCTCGGAGGCCAGGTCGGGCGGCGGGTCGCGGCAAGGGGAGCCGGGGCCGGAGCCGGTATCCTCCGGCGGCTGCTCGGCGGGGCGGCGGGGCGGCGCGGTGATGGGCACCCGCACCTCGCCTCCGCCGGCCGGGCGCGGCAGCGGCTCTCGGCTCTCGCCATCAGTCATGGTAGCGGCCAGGACCTGCGGGGCAAGGGCGGGGGGGGGGGGTGGGGGGGTGTGGGGGTGTGGGGGGGGGTGGTCAGGGGCAGCGGCCCCCCCGGCGGGGTGAGGGGGGGACCCCGGCGCGGCTCCCACCTGGCCCCGGTGCTCCAGCCACAACAAAGACGGGCGCTGGGGGTCGAGCCGCATCCCGGGCGCGGCCGCTCCCGCCCCCCGAGGAAGCTGGGTCTCCCCTCCCTTCTTCTTCACCACCCCCCCACAACACCCACCGGCTTTTTCTTTTTGATTTTCAGGGATGAAAAATTGATGGGGGAGGCGGGGGGTGGGGGGGGTAGGGGGGTGTCCTACCTTAGTTTGGCGGAGCGCGGTGTCCCCAGGAGCATAGCCGTGCCTTCCAGTTCACATGGGACCAGGCAGCAATCGGGGCGCTGGATCTTCCCCCCCCCCCCTACACACACACACACTCACAAACCCACCACCACCCCTAAGTCCGGGGGTTGGGGGGGGGGGGGGTTTGGGGGGGTTGGAATGGGGCTGGGCGTGCAGCGCCCGCCCGTGGGGATGGAGGATGGAGGAGGAGGATGGAGGAGGAGGAGGAGGAGGAGAAGGAGAGGTGGCGGCGGGGGCGGGGGCCCTTCCCGAGCCGAGCGGAGCCTCTCCCGACGGTAAATCCCAAGGAGCGAGCAGGCAGCTCCGCAGCCGCTTTTGCAAAGCTTCGCCCGTGCTTAACAGGAAACTTCGGATTTACCGGGGGAGGAGGGAGAGGAGAGGGGAGGAGAGAAGCGGAGGCGGAGGGGGGCTGGGAGCCCGGCGGGGCAGGGCGGGGGCGGGCAGCCGGGAGGAGCCGGGGCAGCCCCGGGGGGTCGGGGGGGGCCGCCTGTATAGCCCTCCCCCCCACACACACACATACACACCCGCCTTTGTTCAAGCTCCGGGCGATTCATGGCGAAGGGCAGGTCGCCCAGGCCCTCTCGGGGAGCCACGCTCACGAGTGGAAGGCGGCGGGGGGAAGAAGTTGGATCCACAGCAGCGGGGGGCAGGCGGAAAGGACTTTGCAAAGCCGGTGGAGGGGCTGGGGGGGGACACCGGGTTTGTCCCCCGCTCCCTGCTGCGGGCCCCCCCTCCGCCCGTGCACCCCCAAAGGGTGGGATGCGATCCCACCCCCCCGGAGCTCCGACCGGGGGCTGAGGGGGGCTGGAGGGCCCCGGGGGGGGCGGCTGCGTGGGAAGGAGCCCGGCACCGCTCCCACGGAGGATCGCGAGGCTGCCCCAGCCCCCCGGAAACCCCGCTTGCCCCCAGGGCATTCATTCGTTAGTTTTCCTAAATAAATGTGTAAGCCCAAGTTAGAGGTCGGAGCATTTTAATAAATAAAGATCGGCTCTTAAACTGCAGTGATTTTTAGCTGAGTAGCTAATCTTCTCAAGGGTTTAGCTTGGAGGGATCAGAATAAACAGATAATAGAAAGTCGTTACAGGCATCGTCCCCTTAAACTCCGCTTAGGAAGTTTTATTCTTTTGAGTTATTTCAAATTCTGTGAATTATATCTGAATGTAGTGCAGGTGGAGGGGGGGCAGAGGGAAGAGACGTTAAAAAATGGTAGCTAGATACATTCCCCTCAACTGGAATGTTTTAAAGAGTGAGTTCATTATATACCACCACATTCAATTTGCAAATGCAGTTCCCAATGCTATTCTTCATGGTTAATAACTGGGAATTGATTGAAAAGGGAGGTCATGCAGCTTCCAAAGCAGAAAGAGCCAAGCCTAATGGGGCTAGTGAGGAGATGGTTTTACATACACTCTTTCAATGGTTGTTTTATTAGATGTTTGCAGGTTGTGATTAACAGTATGTGGCAATTTTATTATTGAACAAACAATGCCTCTGACAAGCAGGACAGAGCCTGCAAAGCAAACGTGAACTGTGCAAAGAGATTGCACTTGGAGTTTCCACACTGTAATACAAACTAATTAGGGCAAATCATAAATTACTTTGGGAAGGGAAGACTTGTATGTGAGTTGGTGGAGCTGTCCTTGAGCAAACCAACTTCCACTCATAAATTATCTTGCTCAGAAAAACGACCTTCACAGGAAGAAAAGAAGGTTTAACTAAAAGGGGATTTGGGAGAAGGAGAGGTCAAGACTTGAGAGCAAGCAACACTTCTTGATCCTTTCCCAAAAGCAGAAGCTGCCCAGGCACTAAACTTTCCTCTGTGCCTCCCCTCCAGCTCCGTGTCAGGAGAGCGGGATGCTGCTCCCGTGACTAACATATCCAAGTTCAAAGCTCTTTCCCCACCAGCTGTCCGGGAGCACTGGCTCCTGCCCTGCCCCAGGCAGAGCCTGGGTGGAAGCTCAAGGCTGTCGCAGGCTGCAGACATCCTTTCCATAGCCAGACAGAGTACGGGGAGCCTGACAATTTCGAGGTCTTAACCTGTTGCCTGATGGAGAGTATTTAAAGCCAAGAGCCTTTATTAATAAACTCCATGCAACAATGGTGGCTGAGAAGGACTTTTCTTCTAAAATGGAGGATTTTGGAGAAGCCCAGTGAAAAATAGGCCCAGTCGTGACCCCAGTGAGGATTTTTGGCTCCTTCTGCAAGGACTGGCATTAATTCCAAAGGTGGTTGTTACTGAAAAGAAACAACATTTTGTTGGCGAAAGTATTCGCTTCCTCCCGTAGTTCCTGCCTAACCCACGTACAGGGGTTGGGTGTAGGCCAGATTCTGCTCCATTTTACTGCAGATTTGTCTCCAGCTGACTGCACTGACAGCACTGACACTTCTTCAGGTTTACACGAGTCAGAAGGATCTGGCCACAGCATTTCTGTCGTTAATAACCCACCAGAAATTTTAAGATCAATACCAATCTGAGGATACACAGTACACCCTGAATGGGCACTTGGTTTGCAGAATCACAGCTGACATAATGGGATGTGTAATGCTCTTATCTGGCCCTAATAAATCGTCCCCTGCTGGCACGCTCCCGGGTGTGTTCCAGTCCGCATGCGAGGTGGACAGGCTGGAGATGTGCAGATCTGCCCCAAAACCGTACAGACTGGGGAGGAGAGCTGGGCTCCCCGTCCCGGGCTCACGAGTGAGATGGGTGAGTGTTGGGACCCGTCACGGGAGACGTCGCCCATCCCGGGTGCTCGCTGGGGTGGGAGCTCGGCAGGGCAAACTCACGGGGCTCCTAAAGTTACCGGAGCCACAACGGTTTCTACGGCTGAAAAAACAGATTCGCTCCCACCGTGACAGCCAGCACGTGGACTGAGGACACTTAACCTCACCTTCTGCCTGGCCGTCCCCAGTCGATGTTATTTAGCATGTAGCAGCCATTTGCAAACTGTCACAGAAAGACAAGATAGGACTTTACAAGAAAATCCCCGGTTGCCTCAAGTATTTTTCATCAAGCAGCCAATTCTATTTAATATTCCCCCTCCGAACTTGCCTGCAACCTCTCAAAGGCTGTAAAACCTTCCCGTGACCCTGCTGAAGGAAGGAGCAGAGTCTCCAGCCCTGCAGCCTGCCCCGCGCCGGGATGCTCCTCCCGGCTGCTACGCCTTGAGTCAGGAGCAACCCGAAGGAGACCCTCTGCCGAGGTGACACCCCACCAGGATTAAAAATCAATTTCTCAAGGTCACGGGCCCGGCGAGAGCAGGACGAGGCATCTCTGCACGACTCACGCCCTGCTCGCTAGCGAGGCTCGAAGAGGAGCCTTTGCCAACATTTATAAAATGTGCTGGGTGTGCCATCGTAGTGTACTGTCAGATGAAACCCAGACAGTAAATCAAGCGGCGGAGCACAGCTTAATGCCATAGTCTGTGACTGTACGTGATGCACAGCCTCTTCCCATAGAGTTGCAAGGATCAGCTGGGGAAAAAAAAAAAAAAAAAAAAAATCCAATTTGACTTTTGGGGTTTGATGCTACAGCGTTTCCCAGGCTAAGATGAGATCAGTAGGTCAGCCCCATAGTTTAAAGCTTCTTTGTGTTTTTATGCCTATTAATCTGACCTCTTATATATAAAATCTGACAGAGGTGCTGAATACTTTATGTAATATTTTTTTTTTACTGGATCTAATTCTAGCTGACTCAAATCTGGGTTTTTCTGATTGCAGAAAAACCTTCAAACAAGGAACAATCTAGCTAATAGTGCTTGCATAAATCATCCTCAAAATAATGAGTATCTGTGGAGTGAATTCATTTAGCTAAATAGATGGAGGACCACTTTAAAGTTATTTAGAAAGATTAACAAAAGAGAAGGGAAATGAAAAACAGATAATAAATTGACGAGAGAAGGGAAAAATTGTATTAGAAACAATGAATTTATAATAAATTCAAAATGTTAAGGAGAAATTTCCAAAAAAGGAGATTGGCACCATGGCATTTTGGCTGTGCTGGTGATAAAATGTATTTTTAATTAAAAAACATGGATGTTAAAATGCATTTTAAAATAGATAGATAAATAGGTCCCCAGCCAAAATTATATTTTTACTTTTATGCCTTTCAAATTCACCCATAATTTGTCATTTCCTCAGTACAAGAAAACACTTATCTACCCAGGGCTCGTTTTTCCATTGCACTCAACATACCTTCATCAACTGCTCAGTACAGAATGCCAAACTGCACGTGTCCCTTGGGCAGATCGCAGCGCTTACTCCCTTCCCACCTGGAATTTGCACCTTTTTTTCCTGACAAACCCCCCAGTATTTTGCTCTTGCATCCTTTCTTCTTCCCCTCTCATTTTTCCTTCCCTCATCTCAGTCCTTTCCTTTCCTTCTCCACTGATTTTGCCATGTGCAGTGCCCCATCCTATTCCTTAATGTAACAGCCCCCCCTCTGCTCCTTGGCCCTTTATTTAGGGGTGACCGCACAGAGCCTGCTGTCCCAGTAACAACCCCCCAGTACATGTTGGGTTGTCCCGATGCATTTTTGGTATCTCAAAGCCCCTACAACAGCTCTCGATCTGCATTCTAGTGGCAGCAGCAGACACAAATTTTCTTTCCTCGCCTTCAGCAATTTAGTGAGTGTTCCCTCCCCATCAATCCTCATAACAGGTCTTAATGCCATTATGGAGCAACGTACAAAGTACGTTGGAGCCCTGCACAAAGGCTTTAAGTCCCGCCTAAATCCCGAGGAAAACTGGGATGATGCCTCAACCAATATCATGCTTTTGAGCTCAAGTCTACCATTCATGTTTTATCCTCCATCATTTCTCAGGAGAAAGCAGCCCCTAACAACTTTTGGCGTTGTGTTAAAGAAGCACAAGGTTGTCCGTCTTCAGAACCCTTCACCCACCTTGCACTGTGTTTCCAGTCTCACAGCTGAACGCGCAGCGTTTCTAAATGCATCACTGAGTGAGTGTATTTCAAACCCACGCATTTTGGACAGGCTCAAAAACTGCATTGTGGCTTCTCTCTCTTCTGTTGCATTTGCCGCTTTGATTTACTTACTCCTCATATCATGTTTAGACTTGCTAAATATAAAAACTGTTCAAAATAACTGTGCAAAATATTCTCCAAGTCCCTGAGAAAAAGAAAAAATACATTGCTCAGATCTGCCTTCCCGTGTTTTATGGTTTTAGCACATGTTGTAAATAGAATATTTCCATAATAAATATTTGATAAAAATAATTTCCACGTGAAGTTAGTCCTAAGCCAACAGCCCCAGAAAGGCAGAAGAGGAGCTACCAGGTTGGCAGTGACGTTCACTGCG